GGGAGGGTAATTGGGCCTCCGGTAACCTCACTCACACGACGAAACACAACGTAAGCGTTGCTTCACGTCGGTTTCCTGCTCGGTCGTGGTATCACTCCGGACGAGCCGGCCCATTCGTGCAAAAGCATGGCTCTCCCACACTTCATAATAAAGATTTTTAGTCAGATATATTTTTACTCAAATACATCATATTATATCTCACTTACAAATTGTATTCACACTTTCTTTATACATTTTTGTAATTTAACGCACCTTTAGACAAAACACATAATCTTTACTTAACAAATATTCTTACATTCCAGGTCCCAGCCTCCCTCCAATCGCAGCCGATAGTGGACATCTCCCACCACTCTCACAAGATCTACCATCCCGAGCAGATGACGGCGGAGTACCGCGCCATACTGGACGCCATGCCACGATACTTTAACGTCGCCACCTTCCTGAGTTTTAGGAATAACTATGTATTTTAGATCAGATAATAAGTGGGCGCATACGTTGATTGAAAGACTAGGTGAAATTTTATTATATTGTTGGATTTAGGCATACAGGGCTACCGAACTCAATTCGAACTCGGATTAAGATATTGTGGCGACATAGATGACAGATGACATAAAAAACTATATCGCGCCAGTGAAGTTTGCGCGCGATTAAATATGAATACAAAACTGTTGGGCAGTAGCCCAGGCATAATCGACTCGCCATGTCGAACGATCCTCCTTTTCCTATCTTAGGGAACTTTACTCTCTGTTTCCTAAAACCTAAAACAGGGTTTCTCAAACTACGGGTCCCGAGCGAATTTTAGTAGGCCTTTGTCTGTAGACTACACACTAAACAAATTGGTAACGGTTTAATTTCCTAAAAGTGGCTCTTATTTTTTGTAACTTGATTTAGATAGGTCGTAGTTCATATAATTTTGGGGACCAGGGACATAAAATATTTTTATGAGTTGCACCTTTACAATTCCATTGAAATCGCTAAAGCAAATTATGATGAATGTTTGTGTTGTTACTTGTGTAACATTGTTTAATGAACTGAATAGCAAAACCTTATAAAATGAATTGCATACGAGCAAAGATGGACTTAATACTCTCGCCTCTTACAGATTGTAAATAAGAATTGAGTTTTTTTTATATATTTTTAGAACAAGTTACTTGTAAGATGTGAAATGGCTAAATATGTTATGTAAGGACAGTGTAGCTGTGTAGTAATAATTATTTATTTCGGTATTATAACTTTATACAAAGGAACTTGTATTTATTTTAGTATGTAATTTATTTTTAAGAATTGGACCAGTGAATAAAAATTATTTCTTAAGAACTGCGTATTTTATTGTTGTTCCACGGTCATCCTTGAATATTTCCTACGTCCTACCTATTTTTTATCTACCTCTTCTTACTGTGTTATGTTTTTCCTGGTACTTTAATATGGATATAACGTATCTTAACTGTACCTACCTTTGTAGTGAAATTTAGTATTGAAGGCCAATACTTTCTTTTGTGATGAGAGGTGAAACAACCGTCTACTACTTAGTGCAGTACCTAGTCTAACCCAGTGGGTGGACAGATCGTGACCCGATTTTATGAGCGCAAAGTGTGTATGTAGTTAGTACTATATAACATCGCGCTTTTATCCCCGAAGGGGTAGGCAGGTGCACATTATGCCATTGCACAGTGAACACCCACTTTCCACTATTTATGTTATGTGTCCATTGTAATAGGGGGTGAGCCTATTACCATATACCGGGCACAATTCCAGACTCCGTGCTACTGAGAATTTTTTAAAAGCCCAGTATTACTTTGACCGACCCGGGAATCGAACCCGAGACCCCTTGCCCGGCAGTCGCTCTTGCGACCACTCGACCAACGAGGCAGTCTTACCTATGATTTATCATCATCATAATTCACTGTCCAGGGTTTAGGTAGAGTCAATTTCGTGTCATTAAGGGAGATTTTGTCAATAAAATGCCATATTCCAAAATAGTCTTTTTATTTCAAATTCAGTCTTAGGACGCTCCGATCATATTCCAAAGAATACGCGAAGCAAAACGATTGTTTCATCACAAATCAAATAAAAAAAAAACAATAACAAAACATTCGTTCACTCAACAAATTGCGATATATATTTAAAAAACATGATTTTAACGAAATCTTTAATTTTTATTCAGTGAATGACTGAATGAAATCATTCATTCACTAAGACTTGGTGAGTAAACAACTTACTGACTTCATAACATTACACTTCAATCTATAATTTGTACAAAAATACTCATACAACACTCAAAATATAATACAAAATCAGTGAATATTACAAAATCAGTAACTATAAACTTATAACTAAACTTATATATACGGGGTAAACAATAAATTACATGAGAAATTAAAACACAACATTTGCCTGCATATTTATTTCCTGAGATCTTCTATATATAAAAATAACATAATTTTACGAATGGTAATTATTATTAGACAAAACAAACAACAAAGTCATAATCTAGCGTAGTTTATTTGCATTTTACATTGTTGTAACAATATCTTGCGAGAATGCTTTAACGAAACTGACTTATAAGACAGAAATATAATATATAAGTCGATTTTATATTTGTTACCTCTGTATAATTTAAGTTATACAATCAAACATTACCACGAAAGGTAATATATGACACATTTCCATCCAAACAAATCAGCTTCGTAAAAGGCACGATTACACTACAAATACTAAAACTAATTGCCCTAAAAGTGACAAAACTTAAGATATACCCTTTACAAAATAATAAAAAGGATTCCTAGATCGAAATAAGAAAAAAAACTATCAGCTTCCTTCGATTTCGACGAACTAACATTTTAAATCCTATCATTTAGTGTGAAAAGTTAGAAAAACGAGCTATTTCTTACGAATTTAGCCTTTATTATTACTATATATTATATATCTAAGATATTCCTTTATATTTAAGTTTTAGAATATCTTGGAAGCAACATCTAAATGTTATAAATGCAATATTGATAAAATCAAGCACCTGATGTCGTTAGTACAAATCAAGACCTTATTAAACGTAAAACCGACTTTTGACTATGAAACAATGTGTAAGAGAATATTAGTTAAAATGACTTAGTTATAATAAACCAATTGTTTTCTTTTTAGGCATAAGCGGACTAGATTGTATGGGGAAGATATTTTAGACTTTAAAGTAAGTTTCTATTAAAATTAGTATCGAAACATTTCAAAATGGAATCGTATACTGTTGAGTATCAACTATTCCCGACAATTATAAAGACTATTTCGATATTTCTGAGAATACATAAAATACTATAAGACTATCGATTCTAAATAGATTGTAAAAACAAAACGAATATTTTTGAGCACAATTTTTCAAATGCGTTATTCAAATAACGTTAGAACAAAATACTAGATAAACAAACATGTTTACATAATTCGGAAAAAGATATTAAATGTAAGGCATAAAATAATAACAATTTAAAAACAGTAATAACTGGATTAACAACTGTATTGATATGTAGTTAAGGATTACAATGGCATACATACAATTTAAAATATTCAAAATCCACTATACGTTTGGTGTTTTGTAAAAAATATATAATTTACTACAAGTTCACAAAATATAACATACACTTTAGTTAGTGGAAGAAGTCAAAACAAAAATTTACTTCACAATACAAAATTAAAACTATAATTACTTTTCATGTTTATTAAACATTAGAAAAACAGTACCTTAGAGCATTTTTTTAAGGGGGGAAATCATCGAATGGCTGCTCCCGCCTTGATGAGGCGGGAGGGAGCGTCAGACTCTTACTGACTAAAAACCACCCCGTTCCTTCTCCTGCACGTCGAGCCGGAGCCCCGGTTACCCGTTAGGTTCGAGGTAGAAGTTTGAACCTAATAATACAGATTTGTCAATTGATGTCATTACAAACACATAAAATAAGTAATGCAGTTTATATTTGTTTGTTTATACATTCTATACATAAGGAAGAAAAATCTGAGTTTATAATATTGCTTGCATTATATAATATTTTCAGTAAATGTATAAGATACAGTATCTATTTACTAAGTTTGTATAAAACTATTGCTTACAACGAAAACTTCTGGTAATTACAACAGAAAAAGTTCAAATGGATATTCGACATAAATGAAGTCTTTCTTTTGCCTAAAGGATAGACAAAGGTCGTATTTAATGTATAACACACACTGCACACAAGTTTATTATTTTTCTAATAGTCAAATGTAGTGAATGAGTCTTAATAACAAAAAAAAACAACTATCGTGAGACATACTAAATTAACTTAAAATCGCGAGTTACTGACGTGAATATACTGAGAAAAGCTCTACTAGTTTCGAGCCACATAAGGGTTCTCTTTCATGAGCAGCGTGCGCCGTCGCGGCGAGGTAGTGCAGCCAGCAACTCATGACGAAGAACCCCTCTGTGGTTCGAAACTAGTAGAGGTTTTCTCAGTATATTCACGTGAGTAACCCGCGAGTTTTAGTTAACAAATCTATTAAAAATTTATACACCATAATCTATCATATAATGTATATATGACATATTTTACAGCCAATTTCACAGATTCTTAACTCGTGAACTTTTTTATCTGAATTAGTTCAAACTATCTGCCAATCGATTTTTATCAGGAGCTGTCAAGAACCCGTCAAAATAGCTGTTTCTAATACATATGTCTAGAATTGACGGTAAAATTCAAAGCTGTATGATCCTTTCATCAAAATGCTTTCATTATGAGCTACAATCGTAGAGGATATTTCATTCCCAATCTTAATGAAGTTATTTCTTACTAGCTCTTACCCGCGGCTTCGCTCGCGTCACAATAGGATAAAAAGTAGCCTATGTGACATATACCAATACATACAGCGCCATCTATACCAATACTTTTGTTTTCCCGCGGGAATATCAATTTTTCCGGGATAAAAAGTACCTTATTATTTAATCCGGACTTCTAACTTTACGTCTGCAAAAATTCAAAGCAATCGGTTTAGTAGTTACGGCGTGAAAGCGGAACAAACAAACAAACTCACTTTCCGATTTATAATATTATATATATAGTAAGGATGACTGATATCATTAGACACGTGGGTCATTGCCCATTTTAAATATAAACTGTAACACTCAGTTTTAGTGCAGCATTCACAGAAATTAATGAATAACACTGAAACGAATTTAAAACGAAATATCATTAACTATATCAGTTTTAAAGTAATTTTGTGCTTATTATTATTATTTCTTTTTGACTCGGTCTCATCTAGACATATAAATATAACAAAAACAAACCAAATGTATGTGGATTTACAATTTAGAATATTCTATTTTAAAACCAGGACAAAATACATTGGATTTTTAACTTTCTCACTATTGCTTATAGAGTTTACAATTCTATAACATATCATATTGGTGCTATATAAAAATGGCAGTGACTAAGGCAATATGCTTACTTATTATTGCGATTTAAACAAAAATTTACTCTAAAATCATACACATAAAGGTGAAAACAGTATGTGTGGAACATATTAATGCGTTGTTGTAAACTAAATCTTATGTAACAAATAATTAAAGTGTCTTAATTACAAGTAAATGAAAGATGATATTACTGGGTTAAGGTGAACGGAAGATATTTAATGAACAACATATTATGAGACTTATTACCGCCGTATAAAGTACTTATTTCAATAAATTCGATATCCTTCGCCATTTTTTAAAAGCGAAGTCTTCTCAAAAGCATTGAAATGTACTCAATTCACATAGTAATAAGAATCAAAATATATTTTAACTAAACTATGCCAAAAATTCACTATAAAGATAATCTAGAAATTTTGAAAAGCATAATCCAGTTATTTTCATTAACTAAATCAAATTTAGTCTAAATTTTTGATTATACAAAAAACGAATTTTGTTTAAAAATCAAGTTTTCCCAATTTAAAGACTAAAAGTCTAAGTACGTAATAACATATAACATTTTAAACATAGGTCACAAATTTCCGAACATCCTGTAGCAATATCCAAATAACTTAACACCCTATACTTAGTACAAACATTTCGTTTAAAATTCTACTCTAACCAATGGTTATAAAGTTGATTATCAAATAATATAACGTAATAATGAGTTCTATTTTACTGTTCAAACGTTAGACAATGCAATATGGGTTCTATTCTATAGTTTTTAAAGTTCAATGTAAAGTAACAGTTAGACGGCTAGCGGCAACCATCTTGTTATTAAATTTCTTTTTGAAGTTTTCAGCTGCGGCCGACGATTTGAATATAATCTTCGCAGTACGGTCTTCTTTATCCAATATTAAACTCTGGAACATTAATTCGACGATTGTTTGGTTTTGTATCCTTTTTTCCTTAAAAAACTAAGTTTTTGTACAAAGCTGTCTTGGAAAATATGAAAAATGTTAAGTAATATACATACAAGGTACATTTTATGAACATATATACAAACATATTATGTTAAATGTATTACATAGTGCGATGAACTTATAACTAAAACATAAGTCTTCCTTTACATTAATTTAAACTTACATACAATCACTTAACACTTTTCTTATTTTATTTGTGAATAATACAATTTTAATACTTGGCTGTTGAAAAACTACTCATATAGTAGAGGACATAAGGACTAAATTTAACTTTTAACTATAGTGACTATCTAATTTTAAATTACCATCAAGTGATGAATAAATTAATAATCTATATATATAAAAAAATGAAACCCGTTTCCCGTTCTCACGCCACAACTTGAGAACGGCTGGACCGATTTGGCTGATATTTTTTTTATTGTGTTTGTTATTGTCAGGAGAAGGTTCTTATGATAGAAAAATCCAGAAAATCTTATGGGATCGGGAGAAAACGGGATTGCGCTTACGAAGTCGTGAGTAGAAGCTAGTATATAAATAAATATAGTATTTATCACGATCATGAATTCCTCACAATGAACTAATAAATACTTCAACGCAAACTCGCATAAATCGATTAACAAATGGCTTTCAATTGATGTTTGACAAGACAAAGACAACATCATAGGGCAGACTGGTAGAAAATGCCTGCGGAATTAAAGTCTACCTATTTGTACATTTTGTGCATAACGCATACATAAATCACTACATAGTATAAAACAAAGTCGCTATCCGCCGTCTCTCTGCCCCTATGTATGTTTAGATCTACTACGCAACGGATTTTGATGCGGTTTTTTTTTTAATAGACCGTGTGATTCTTAAAGAAGGTTTAATGTATAATACATGCATATTGCACCCGTGCGAAGCCGGGGCGGGTCGCTAGTAAAGAAATAAAAATCATATACTCTCAGCCTAAATAAAAAAAAAGAACTTGGCATCTCATTTTACGTAGCCATTTTCTATTATTTTAGATTGTGAGTAATCTAATAAGGTATGGTCTCACAAATTGGAACGTAACAGCTACATTTAAACTCAAAAATGTCTATATTTTCCAGAGAACTATTATTCGATAATTAAACGAAATTTACGTCCTCTATTTCGGCTCGTAGTTTTAAAATTATTAAAATTGTATCATTCATATAAAATATTACAAGACTATATAAATAGCACAACACATGCATTATATTTAAAATACTAATACATATAAATAATATCATTTCATATAATTATGTTTCAAACACATAACATGATCTGTTTTGTAACATATATAACGATCACGTTTATTTATAAATTAGGTAATTAGCATTTACGGTTTGACACGTTTATTTCGGAAATGTCCGAAAAGTTTCGAGTTCGAACGAAATTACTTATGACATTTCCGAAATATATGAATACCGTATACGCTAATCAACGTATATAAAAACTGTCATTATCTTGAGTAACATAAGCCAACATTGGCCATATAATGGACAAACATTTATATTAGATTTGATACAAATCATTTCCACAAAAGTGGAGTATGACATAGGTGTCAATTTATCCTATTGTGATAATATAGTAAATACCACCCCGTATAAGAGTGAAATATGTAACAAACATTTGGTAAAATATAAAAAAAATACGTCAGTACAATATGTGTACCTCAGACCAAATATTCATAAAATTATTTTATTACATTTTTACTAAGCCAATCACACTTGTCGTAAACGACTTTATTTAAGTAAAACTTTTTGATCAGATTAATAGCTTACAACATTACATTTATACACATACGACAAATGTGAAAAAATTAGAAAATATATATATATACAGGCTTACTAATTCTCATTACTTAAAGTCCGAATATTGACAGACTCCTCAATTTCAAGTAGTACTTAAATATCGTGCCATCTCTGTCTTTATACAAAGAATTTGTAGAGACAGAACTATATTTAAACGCAACTTAAAATTTGAGTAGCCTTTCAGAATTCGGGTGTTAAAGTTCTAATTTCAGCTTTGTTTAATTAAAAAAGGGTAGTAATAAAAGCTCCGACAAGAAAAGAAGAATTGTCCTTACTGAAAATATTAAATGTACTGCCTAAAATACTAACTCTCCGACTACTTTACATGACTGTTTATTGCTACAATACTAACCTAACCTAAAACGTCTGTTGTCTGTAACTTATTAATTTTGTCGGAGGTTCAATATTATATTCGGAAGTTTAGTTTTGTTATTCGAAGATCCATTTTTATAGTCGGCCACAGATCGCTGGAGATTAATTTGTTTTTCGGAACCATTATTATTTCCATTAAAAATAATAACGAGACTGATACAAAATTATATTTATTTTATTTATTTTTAACCATGATCGTCCCACTGCGGGGAAGGCCCCCTACCCTTGGCTTTCTGTGGGCAATCCTTTTCATAGGCGTCAATAAATTTTTATTTTTCCTTTTCATACATAATTTTATTATTTCTTACATACATCTGAATAACGATGGTAAAATAATGTTTCTGTTTTTCTTTATTTATTTATTTAGACTTAGTACAAAACATATGTACAGGTGGACTTAATGCCTTAAAGTCGACCTTAAAGTCTGTAAAGTCATTATAAACAGTATCACGGAATTTCCTCCCACGGACAGTCTGATTGTGGAATGAACTCCCTGCCCAGGTTTTCCCGGTGGGCTACAATATGGGGTTCTTCGAGGAAGGAGTAAATAGGTTTATTAAGGGTCGGCAAGGTGCCTGTAATGCCCTATGTGTTGCAAGCGTTTATAGACCACGGTAACCACTTACCATCAGGGGCTTAACTCTTGAGTCCAATTCCGATCGATCGTCATTGGCATTGTAAAATTTCGTACTGTTGAGATGCAACACTAGCGCCCATTGTATCCGTATTGCGTGGATATTGAATGAACTAAATGTTATTGAATTTGGCTTTATATTCCATACTCTGAATGCTATTTTAGGTTTGCAGGGGTTGTATAGTGTTGGCATTAAATAATTATTGAGATTTTGTTGGATTGAAATTGTATTGATATTGAGATTAGTTTTAAGAGTAAGCACCCAGGTGGGCCGTGTACTTTTTTGCCACCGTTATGGTATAAAAAATCTGTGTTTTAGGTTCCCATAGGTTCCAATCCAAGGTACTTTATTGATTTCAATCATAAAGATTTCGGTTTTATCATCATCATAATCTGATATAGTCGAAGTAGCACAAGGTCTATGAGTCAGTTTTATCGATAAAACAAACCTTATGTCAGCATAAATATGTAAACTCCTACTAGAAGTAATCAAATAAGAAACTTATGGCAAATCGCGCGGGAACAATATCCCTTGTTGTTCTATAAAGAATTAATCTTAAAAGGAAAAAGGAATCTTTTGTAGACAATTGACTGCACGGTCGATGCAGTGGCTGGGCAACCGGTTGGCATTCTGACTTCGGGTGCGCACTCTTTGTCTGATCCATAGATTCTTATTTCGGGTCTGTGTGTCATGCGTAAGTGAAATTATAATTATGTTTGTAAACGTATCCACACACTTTCTAGTATAGGACAACGTTTTTTAAAAAGACA